TACGTTCTGTAATGTCCAAATTTATTACCATAGCAAGTAGATTTCCTAACATTTATAATCAACATGTAATAATGATAAAAACAACAGATTTCAGAAAAACAAAAATAAACAGCTTCTTCAAAATCCAACTTTATTATTCCTTAGTGACAATAAGATGTGAGTACATGAATTTCCATAATATGTACAAAAAGTTTTATCAGACAAGTGTTAAGTTGATCAAATATACCAGAACACTTCAACGAGTTTACCCACTGGATATAAGTCATTTATAACATAGCTAGAATATATCACTAACTTCAACGAGTTTACCCATTGGATATAAGTCATTTATAACATAGCTAGAATATATCACTAACTTCCTTCAAGACATCACAAGAAATATTCTTTTCGATCATTTTCCTATCTGTTTAGATAAGCAAACTTCTAAAAGGAACTTCTACAAAGCGAAAAAGGGAAATTCAAATACATGAACGTATGTACTTAAAGTTTTCAGCCGCTTAGCCTTCATTACACATGCTTGTTTGGTTTGAACCTTACACAGATGTGGTACTGAACAACAATTTACTTGATGAGTGAGTGAGTTAGTTCTGTTTTACGCAGCTTTCAGCAATATTCAAGCAATATCATGGTGGGGGGCACTAGAAATGGGCTTCACACATTGCACCCATGTGGGGAATTGAACCTGGGTCTTCGGAATGACGAGCGAACGCTTAAGCCACTAGGCTACCCCACCGCCCCTTACCCAATGAAGGTAGGGACCTGAAAGCTTGAGCATGCATATACTTATCTAAAACATATTACAAAGTTGGGTTTTTCAAATACCATTTTTATTGTTTAATATACCATATGTTATACAAATTTTGGGGTATTTTTAATTATTTTTTATTTCATTAAAGGTGTTTTGGGCAAAATGTTCTTAAATTCACTTTACAATTCTCTTCCTGTTAAAGTCAATGACACAAAGTGCCCACAAATGTAATAAGTACATACAATATATAAGGCTTATACCCAGCTAACAGCCACAGAGATGAATACATGATGAATACCTTCCTTGGCATCACAGGAAACCATGAAGACAGATTTTTCATGGACAGTAATTCATGTGGCTGGTAAGTAGGGTGAGGGAGCTATTTAATATAAAAATTTAGGAAGAAAGATACAGCCTGTAGCTCACATGGATATGACATTGTAATCATCAGTTCAAAACAGACACTAAAAATGCTGCTGTCAACATTGACAACCTGCATATATACATACAGCTACACTACAATCTATGGAAATGAAACAAGTATGACGTCATCATCAGGAGAAACACATGCCACAGTATAGCTGACTCAGTCTGTCCATTTCAGGAAGAAAATTAATTAACTGTATATGTGGAGTCAAAATACAAACAGCACAATACATCATTACATTCTGGACAAAAATAGCCAATTAATAGCAATAAACAGATTTTCAATAAGGCTGCAATTGTGGCAATATTGAATATTGGATTCAATATGTCTGTTATGAGTGTCAAACAGGAAGGTTCAGCATTACTGGTCCAATGGTGTCTGAGAAGATGATTACACAAAAATACAATGCACAAATCAGACAAACAGGCCATGACTTAAACTCTAATGATATCAGGATAGGTGATCTTAAAATGATGCAACATATCTAAATGTAGATCACAGTAGAGCGAAACACATGCGCTAACATCATAATGATATTCACAAAAATAAAATAAAATTGTAGCCACCAAGGATATAAAAACACAAAATGAACAAAACAATACCCTTTGTCTCATATGGACCTGCATCTAATAAAACCTATGACCATATAGCCACTATTGGATCTCTAAAGCAAAATACAAAAAGGATATAAGGATAGGTGATCTAAAAATGAAGCAATATTTCTGAATTTAAATCATAGTAAAGCGGAGCACATGAGCTAACATGATGCTGACATCAACAAAAATAAAATAAAATCGTAGCCACAAAGGAAATAAAAACACAAAATAAACAAAACAATGTCCTTTGACTTGCATGCACCTGCATACAGTGAGAACCCGGATACCAAATATCCGGAAACCTCGATTTCCAGTCAATTTTCATGAAAAAACAATCTCTTACCTTATAAAAGTGACTGTCTATAACGGATATGCAGTTTCCATTCCCGAACGGTAAATTTTACAAACCAACCGGCTAAATCAACACAAATTTGACTCACTTATCCGCACGAAGCTTTGATCTTCCGCTGGCCGTGTGAAGTGAAGCGAGAGTGTCCCACGTGTCTTGACACGAGACAAGGTCTGCTAATCCGGATTAATGATCGATCAGCAGGGTATTGGTGGTGATTAGTAGGCCTATCTGACAAGTGAATTGTAATTCGCAAATCAAAATGACCATGCTGTTTTGAAAGTGCTTTTAAAATCAGAACTGTATGCTCGCTACTGTTTCAACACCTAAGCCTGGATGACAGAAATCTAGATATCCAGATTTTCAGTTATCCGGACGATTTATGCAAAAACAAATGTGTCCGGATATCCAAGGTCTCACTGTATAATAAAACCTACGACCATATCCACTATTGCAACTCTAAAGCAAAATACAAAAGTAGAGAACATCAAATAAAAATAAGGCATGCAGCAATTAAAAATGTGGCAAAATAATTACAAATATTTCAACTTTCATAATAAATGAAAATCATAAAAGCATCTCTTACATTAGAGACAGGATGTAAAATATATTCCTGAGTTTCAATTAACAAACATGGATTAATACTTGAAGGACAATTATTTTGACAATAAATGCTGGTAATGTTGTAAAAATGTACAATGTAATCACGACTGGCTTGGATAATACCCGATAATATCTTATGATAATATGTGTAACTGACAACAACCCTGCTGGGAGTCGCATGTCATAGTTGAAGGGATGTTCAGGATATAATGACTGCTGACGGTTCATATGGACTTTTCTTTATGAAACAGCTCTTAGGCCAGACATATTTTTACAAATGACTTTTGAATCCACTGAAAAAGGTGAAAAGTTGTTGTTTCTAATTCTGCCAACAAGAACTTTGTAAAATGTTAAAAAAATAATAATCCAAACTTGCTTACTGTCGATATTAATATGAATAGTTTTTACATTATAACTAAAACCTGTTGAAAACATAAATTAAACAAAAATAAAATCAGCTAATGAAATGATGCCGAAAATTACATATTACAATTTAAAATTAGCCACAATTCGTGCATGAATTTTGTGAGAAGCCTACCATTGCCTGATATCGAAGCAAGGTGCAAGTAAAGCTGTCAAGCCTGTGGTACTAGAACAATCTTACTGATGTAATCTAAGCATACACTGTTCTACACTTCTTGCAGTAACATGGCATGTATACATTTGTTGGCTGCAAACAGTGACTACACGCCGGCCATATTGGTTTAAAGGAACGCAGCATATGCAAGCCAGTGAAGAAGTGACCCTGATGACAAGACTGACAACATAACATTCTTTGGTAATTGTAATGCCGTCTGCAGTACTCTCCTCAACAAATATTCATAAAGCATAAATATAACTGTATTTGGCTGGACTATAAACCAGATAAATATTTAAAGTCAATGTTTTGATCTCCTTTCAACAAATATCTCAGTGTTCACAAATAGCGTCGGACCCTGTGACAAATCCGGAAGATTCGCCAACGGTCCGATAGAAGTCTACAACCCGCCAGCCCCAGTGTCTGACTGTATATTTCACAATGACTTTGACTGAAGTTGTTATATGTGACATGTGACACTTGTTTGCTGTTTATAAATCTTATGTTTGTTAGTAATTCAATGCCAATCATAAGAAATGCTAAATCTGAAATGTGTGTTTAATTTTATTCTATGGGTCCTGTAAATTTTCAATGTTTCAGACAGACATCTGAAACTTACAAGACCCAATGTCCTGTTACTTTGAAACACCATTTGTAAACACATATCTTGAAAAAAAGCCTGTGCAATATTCAACACTGAAGACTTACTAAGAAACCTGGGTGCATAAACATGATAAATATATGCTAGCGATGATAATGAGTGAGTGAGTGAATGGGGAGTAATGCCACTATGAACATTACTGTAATATCATGTGTCAGTTAAATTATGGAGGAAAGACCAAAGTGATGTAGGTCTCTGACATGTACTTTCTTGGGGATACCCGCTACCATGGGTACGGTGTTGACAAATCAAGAAACATAATCTTGCAAAACCAGAGAGAGGGAATTTAGTTTTACGCTGCTTTTAGCAATATTCCAACAATATCACGACGGGGGACACCAGAAATGGGTTTCACAAATGGTGCCCATGTGGGGAATTGAACCCGGGTCCTCGGTGTGATGAGTGAATGCCTTAACCACTAGGCTACCCCACCGCCCCTGAAAACCAGAATTCTACCCCCTTGATCATAGTGGAGTATGAAGAGTTGTCACAAAAATGTTTAAAAACTCTTCCTACAGAACCCACACCCTGCATTGTTCCATTGAGTGAGTGAGTGAGTTTGGTATTATGCCGCCTTTAGCACAGCGGGGGACACCAGAAATGGGCTTCACATTGTACCCATGTGGGGAATAGAACTCGGGTCTTTGGCGAGACGATCAAAAGTTTTAACCACTATCTCTACCCCATCGCCATGTTCCATTGATACAACCTTCAATGTGTGTTTGGTAAGAATGAGAGTCACACATTGTGGGGAATCAAATGTGGGCCTTCAGCGTGACGCTTTAACTACTAGTCTACTCAAGTCCCGTGAGGGACCTGAGTTGTAATTACCAAAATCATTCACTTTAAACTGCAAACAACTTTGCAACGTCAAAGTAAATTGATTATTAAACTAATCCTGCCAGCATATCAAATCCCCACACACTTATAAACAAAGATAATTGCCACACATATTTATAAACATACACTATAATATGCCACATATATTCCCTTGATGACATACACACCAAGTCAAAAATATACAAAAGCTAGCAATATAAAAGGCTTAAAGGATGTTTAAGCAGGGAGACTCAAAAGTAATTTGTACACTGCAAAAAGTACTAGAAACGTTACTTTACTTAGAAGCTGTAATCCCAAATATAACATGTTACATTTGACCACTTTCGAAATGGCATTGTCTATTCATAATTTGTACATATTATAAATGTACAGAGACAAAATAAACAGACTAATTCCAAAACATAAAATACAAAATGCCTGCCTTACATTTCCAAAACCTTATACCAGAATACATATTTTGAGGCCTTTTGCATGTTTTTTGTCCAATTTTACTGGAATTTGGACATATCTTTCCGAGAGCTTACTGCCAAACAACCCCTGAGTACATCTTCATTAATCCTTGTATGTACTCTATGTGTCTCTCATAAACATAGCTGAATACATGTTCAATTCACACACAATAACAAACAGATGGTCTCCAAGTGGAAACCTGTAATGACTGACTGATTGACTGACTTTGGTTTTACGCGGCTTTAAGCAATATTCCAGCAATATCATGGCGGGGGACACCAGAAATGGGCTTCACTCATTGTACCCATGTGGGGATTCGAACCCGGGTCTTCAGCGTGACGAGTCAACGCTTTAACCACTAGACTACCCCACCACCCCTGGAGACCTGTAATGAAAGGGAGACCAACCACTCTTTTCATGATGCTATACAATATGTTGATTGTCTGTAAAGTGATATCAATAAATAAACAAAATATGGCAATACATTCAGGGAATCCTTCCTTTCTTCGCCTGAACAACATTTTCCTGGCTCTCCGGAGAAGAGATTCTAATTTCGTCTAAGAACGCCAGGATGGCTTCGACATATTCGTCAGGGTGTCGGTGGAAATGGCTGACATGTGGAGAGTTCTCCCAGCATTTTAAATGGACAGGGATTCCCTTACTGACCCACTTCCTTGCCACGACCTCGATTTCCTTTGCGACACCAATAGGATCAGCTCGCGAGTACAGCAGCAAAGATGGCAGACGCATCTCATTGTCATGGAATGCTTCTGAAGACCTGATGTAATGTTTGGTACTCATTTCTTTGAATAATTTCAGGTATGCCTCAATTGATGACTTTATGACTGCTCGAGAAAAAGAGTTAAAGCCAAGGACATTCGCAAATCCTCTTGGAACACCTTCAAAATCAACAGGGCTGTCATAAATCTGACCCATAAGTCGATCTCGAATATTTCCGTACCTTGCTGCCTGGTCCCTCAGAGTGACCAGCATCTCACCACAGAGATATCCCCCAACAGAGAACCCATGGATCATGAGTGGTTTATCGCGTCTGCTGCCGTCATCCAGAATATCAATAACCTTTTGTATGACAATCTGGGCCTTCTTTGGCTGGATCACTTTGCTAGGAGGAACTTGAACACTTAGTACGTCAAATCCTTTGCTCAGATATAAATTTCCATATTTATCCAGATGACGCTTCTTCGCCATCATCCAACCCACCAGGACTACCAGTGGCCTTGACCTTGAGAGTGTTTCATTGCTACGGATGCTGCGAAGCTCAAGGTTGGATGCAAACCTGACAGAGTCTGTCACAGGAGCACTTGACATGAGGCGAACACATTGGATGAAGGGGGACATCTGCAACAGAGAACAAAGAATAAAGACAAGGAAATACTGTTATAAATCAGCATCAGAACCTTGACTGATCATCCCTTTCAAAATGGTAGAAAGTAAATAGAGAACGAGTTAGCATAGTTTTGCACCACCAGAAACTGGCATTATTCACTGCACCCATGTTGAGAATAGATCTCGGATCAAAGGCATGACAAATGGAAGCTTTAACCACTATCTCAGTACCCTGGCATATATTAGATACAGGTAGAGTGATACATATAGTTCATTTTTGGAAATTATTTTGGAAATTAAATCGATTACTGACCTCCGATTATGGATCTGCAATTTGAGAGTGATAACTAGCACTACCAATCATGGATATAGTTATTATTATATTCCGAGAGTGAGTGAGTTTACTTCAACACTGCTTTTAGCAATATCATGGCAGGGACACCAGAAATGGGCTTCACACATTGTACCCATGTTGGGAATTGAACCAGGGTCTTAGGCATGATGATCAAACGTTTTAACCCCCACCCCTATTTTCTAAGAAGCACCAGTAAACATATAATTATTCATCTATTAATCAAAATTGGTAGGACTGAGGAAAATTGTGGAAATTCCTGAACTCTTTCTGACCTTTGTACAATCTCAGCAATATTATTGTGAAGTGTTATCTTATCAGTGTAAGATACACATTTCTTTGACAGTGGTTTCTGAGTGGCATGCTGCTTGATAGAGAAACAGTTGTAGATTATCTCCCCTTATCTACTTTGGTATGTTATCATGTTTATCCAGCCTGTCAACACTTGGTCAAGTAAGACTTCATCTGGCTGACAAGGTCAATGTCAGTTCGTGACCCAGCTTGATAAAATGTACATAGGAGTTATCAGGACATAGCGGGTCACTTCCAATGCCGTCTCTGGCAAAACATTTCCATTCTAACAGCCTGTATTTTGGACATGGGCACCATGCCAGTATATTCTTACATTTTGTGGAACTATTGGTGCCCAAATGGGTTAGAATGCCGACTTAGTGTGCTGGCGATTAGGTACCTCACTGAAAGTATGAGTTCAAATGATGTGATAGTATCAATCCAAAAGTGGGGCGGTGGGGTAGCCTAGTGAACAAAGCGTTCACTCGTCACGTTCACTCGTCACACCGAAGGCCCGGGTTTGATTCCCCACATGGGTACAATGTGTGAAATCCCATTTCTGGTGTCCCCCGCCATGATTTTTCTGGAATATTGCTAAATGCAGCGTAAAACCAGACTCACTCACTCACTCATCTATTATGTTACACTTGACCAATTTATCTTGTGGTGTATTCATAGCCTGCACTTGACTACAAACATTTTCTGTCGAAAATTAACAGAAAATGCTTTTTTAAGACTCTTGCTAGCTTTGTTACTTGACTCGAACTTTGGTCTTGTGACAGAAGCTGCTTACAGTGCACTAGACTGACAGCTAGTCTCTGAAATGAATATATTTTACAGAAAATAAAAGTTTTAAAATGAAAAGGAGCACAGGGACCTTTTTCATTTTCAGAAGCTGTGGAAATTTAGACTTGCCACATTTTCTAGACTTGCGTGGGCTTTCTTGGATATATTTGCTTCAGGGTCTGTACGACAGACTAACAGTGCATGTGAGATACACATGCACAATTGACCCCATGAGTGCAGGTTTGTGTACAGTGAATGTCAACCTCGTGATCTGTTATCAACAGGTACATTTCACAGTGAGTGTATGATCGACATATTTTTATATAGGCATTAAACACTTTAAAAACATTCCAGACCAATGTCTGGATCAATCAGCAAGTAGTGTTTAGGAGCATACCTATAACTGGTCCTGTTGGAGATTTGTTTGTTGTTTTAAAGCTGCAATTGCAAACTGTCACTTTTCAAAAAGTGTCCACATATTCAAACTGCAAACATTCACTTTTGTCCTGGTATTTAAGGATTCCCATTTTATGCAGTTCAGTACCTTGATTCTAACTGGACTTCTGACCAGCATGGGTGAGGTAGCCTTGTGGTTAAAGCATTTATTTGTCATGCCAAAGGTCTAGGTTCAATTCCCCACATGGGTAGAATGTGTGAAGCCCAATTTAGGTGTCCCCCCACTGTGATATTGCTGATATTTGCTGGAATATTGCTAAAAGCAAAATATACCTCACTCACTCTGACCATCAGCAGGGAAAGAAATCTTTAAAAATTTCCCACTAGACCACAGGACCGGTGAGTGGACAACAATTAGTGGTCCTGTCCGTACTTCACTGGTCCAAAATAACATTCGTAGATTTACTTAACTGCCAATACAAATATCACTGGCCACCAGGACCACTGCAAACTTATCATTTAGTGGTCCTGATGAATTTTTACAAGCCAGGGACCACAGGACCAGCGTACATTTAGCACACTGATGAGGCGAGTTTGTCAGTGCAGGCAGCCAATGATGGAAATTTTATAAGAGAACATACTGAGTCATCACCATGACAGTAATTGGAATAAACGTATCCGACCTTTGGTCCAACTAGCTCATCACTTGACCTTGTTTACAACAGTCCATATCACCAAATACCATTTGCTCTATGTACCAAGTAGCCATCAACATACTTGTCCTAAAGCTGGACAAGAAGGTAAAGATTAATTTGGCCACAAGTCTCGTAGCAGCTGGGTTTGTTTATGGACAATCTATATCACCAAATACCATTTACAGTGTATACAATGTAGCCAGTGACAGGCTTGTCAGAAAGCTAGGCCAGAAGGGCAGGGACACTTGTCCCCAAATCTGATAGAACAAGAGGAAAATTCCCATGTAAAAACTCCAAATATATCTTCATTGTTCAGTGGAGAGAGAAGGTGTTTTCACAATTATTTTATATTTTGATATTGATACTGAATTTGTTGCAATTGATGGAATAAGCCATGGACCTAATGTCCATAGATTGGTTACTCCCCAAACCAGAATAATGCCTTTTTGCCTCTGGCTTCTAAGAGGGGGTTGATATTGACAGTACCTGTATTATACTTGTATTGGTGTGTTGGAGGTACCTGTACTGGTGATATATGGATGCATTAATTGACAGAGTGGTAAGGGAAGTAACAGTAGCAGTGGCGGATCCGGTGTGTGTGTGTGTGTGTGTGTGTGTGTGTGTGTGTTCAGGGGTTCACACACACACCCCACCCCCCTTGAAAGTGACTTAAGACCACATTGAACACCCCCACCCTCAAAATTCCTGGATCCACCCATGAGTAGTATATGGTTGTATTAAATGAGGGATGATATGGGAGGTACTGGTAAAATATGGTTGCAGTAACTGATGGGAGTGAGTGAGTTTAGTTTTACACTGCTTTTAGCTATATTCCCGCAATATCACGGTGGGGCACACGAGAAATGGGCTTCAAACATTGTACCCACATGGGAAATCGAACCTGGGTCTTCAATGTGACAAGCAATGCTTTAACCACTACACTTCCCCACCACTCCTAAGATATGGGAGGTACTGGTAATATATGGATGCATTAATTAAGGGGAGATATGACAAATACTGGTAACATATACTAGGCACATAAAGAAACTGTGCATACAAAAATTTAAAATCTAAATTTATCAAACCTGTGTAGACACATAAGGATATAAACTCAGAGATTAGTGACATGTATCCAACATGCATGCACGTGCCACGTTCCGCGACGTCAGTGGGTTCGTCCTTGAGACGTGCAATACGTTGTTGCACGTGCATTCCAGGAAAGAGAAACAGAGCAAATGAATGCCACACAATACTGTCACTTTGGAAAGCTCAACCCCTGCCCTTGCGATCGTTCAAAAAATTAAACGGCTATTGAAACGCATTGCATGCCCAGGCTCACGTCTGCACAACGTTATGAGGCCATTGGGATGGTCCGTGGCGGAATGTCTCAACGACAATTGGCTGCACATTTCCACTGCCACCGGAGACGCTACCAGAACACAAATGACGTCATCGATCGGCCACGTTCTGGACGTCCACGTGTAACAACGCCAAGACAGGACAGATGGATAAGGGTGACCCATCTTCACCACAGGTTTCAGACTGCAGTGACGACTGCCCGACCATCCCAGGACTTCGCCGTATCCATCCCAACACAGTTGGACAACGTTTACCTCATCATGGGATCAGACCATGACGTCCCGTCATACGGCCTATCCTTACACAACGTCATCGACAAGCTCGCCGAATGTGGTGCCGAAATCATGTCGGCAGACCCCTTGTTTTGGTGGAGAAATGTTGTTTTTACAGATGAGTCCAGGTTTAACATTTCCCATAGTGATGGATGTCAACGTGCCTATAGACGCGCGGGAGAACGTTATGCACAGGCCTGTGTCTTGGAGAGGAATCACTTTGGTGGTGGTTCCGTGATGATTTGGGGTGGAAAAACAGCACGCCAAAGAGCTCCTTTGGTGATTGTTCAGGGCAACTTAACTGGTGTGGGCTACAGGGATCAGATTCTTCGACCTGTGGCAATTCCTTTTCTGCAACGTCATGGCCCTGGGTTAACATTCCAACAGGACAATGCCCGCCCTCATACGGCAAGGGTTGCTATGGATTTCTTGCAACACAACACTTACTGCTTTGGCCTGCAAATTCACCGGATCTCTCCCCGATAAAACATGTTTGGGACGAGATGGATCGACGTCTACGCCGTCTTCCTCATCCGCCAGATAACGTCCTTGACCTTGCAACAGAACTTGAGAGAATCTGGCGTGACATCCCACAAGCCTTCCTTGCACGTTTGACAGGCTCTATGCGTCGTCGATGCACTGCTGTTCTCAATGCCGATGGTGGACATACCCATTACTGAGCTTGTGACATGGTCGTCTGACCCCTGTCCTGCTTGTGGACTTGTGACGTCATTGTGATTGACTTTTCAATTGAAATTCTCCCGACTTGTTATGGTCTCATGATCCCTCCATTAAAGTTTATATGTACCTTTGACATTGTTATCGTACTTATCAACTGGGATAATATTTTGACAATGCACAGTTTCTTTATGTGGCTAGTGTATGATTGATTTGATTCAAGGGTGATATGGGAGATACTGGTAATATATGGCTGCATTAATTGAGGGGTGATATGACAGGTACTGGTTACAATATGATTGATTTAATTCACAGGGTGATATGGGGGTACTGGTAATATATGGATGTATTCATTGAGGGGTGATGAGGGAGGTAACAGTAGTATATGGTTGTATTGATTCAATGGTGATATGGGAGGTACTGGTAATATATGGTTGTATCAACTGAAGGGTGATATGGGAGGATCTGGTTATATATGGTTGTATCAACTGAAGGGTGATATGGGAGGTACTGGTAACATATGGTTGTATCAACTGAAGGGTGATATGGGAGGAACTGGTTATATATGGTTGTATCAACTGAAGGGTGATATGGGAGGAACTGGTTATATATGGTTGTATTAATTGAGGGGTGATATGGGAGGTAACAGTAGTATATGGTTGTATTAAGTGAGGGCTGATATGGGAGGTACAGGTAATATATGGTTGTATTAATTGAGGGATATTTTTCTTATTCCTTGACATTAAACAATGTATTCATGAAAATATATTTGCATTTGTTACCCTATATTCATGAACAGAACATATTCATATAGTATAGTGTAGTCATTGCTGTCTTTGTATACATTTACTCAAACACATGAAAAATTATATCTGATTATGTACAACCTGTATACATACTTATATAATACTTCCATACATAGGTACTTAATGCACATCACCATGTGACGAGTTTGTTTTGTGAAAATCTGAAACATTCACCGCTTGTGTTGCCTGCAGTGATTCATAGCAAGTTTAGAAATAAGGAGCATGATGTGATAAGAACTTGAAGAAGCAGATATTTATATTTTAGTTGTCTGTGAACAAGTTTTTAAGATCTCTACAGCTAATTTGTTTGACAACGACTGACACAAATTGTACATTTTCTAAATACTAAATCCTCCAAAACAAATGGGCAAAATGCTATAATACTCAAGTCACCGCAGTCACTAGTATCTGTTCATCAAAATATATTGTAACCAATTTTTATGGGTGTCTTGTTCTGTGATTGTGAAGCACAATTTTCTTGTAACATTGTTTAGTTCTACTGGAAAATCTAATTTTTCGTACTGCTACTTTTCTTGAGGATAATGAATAACACAACTTATTTTTAATTGATTTATAACTATGAACTGCAGTAATTAAACAATCATTAATAAAATTTTGGACTATTTGCGTATATACAATTATTTGAAAAAAATTCAGACTGTAGGATGGTTGGTTTGTTGTTTAACGCCACACTCAGCAATATAGTCACTGTTGTGTGCTGCTATCTGTTGACTTACACACACACAAACACACACACACGTCGTCTTAATATTGTAAACATAAAGAAAAAAGATCTCCACCAATATTGGATGATTTTATTCATTATTTGCATTTTGTTAATGTAAATAATGTGTATATCAACGGGATGTAAATAATTCGTCGATGATGAATTTTGAATTTAGTACTGAATACCAAAAAAACATCTGGATCTACCTTTGCTCAAACCACTGCTCATCTTGTTGACAATAACACGTCTCGGCTGTGGTTCGCACGTGTTCAAAATGTGCTCTCCGTTCCTAAACAATAATTAAGCTAAATGGCGTCATTTATGTTTATAATATTATGCTTACCCGCAGTGCCAGGAAAGATCGCTGAAGCCCGATGGACGACATATTGTTGATGTGTGATCGTGACTGAGACTTTCCTCTTCTCTGTCTTCTCAACCTTTCACGTCATCTGCTACTCTTTACCGCGTATATTCACCGCTAGGTGGCGTGCTGCATGAACAACCAATCAGAACGGGATATCTTCACACATACGATGCGTGGGGAGACACGTGAATGTACTATTTAATGGACAGTATCTTCTCACACACGGACCAGAAACGAACGCTGCCTCACAATCCCTTGTTTTCCCTTCCGCCCAACCCAAACCATGATGATACATGTTAATTGAAGCAAGTCTAGATTTTCCACAGGTCATATTAATCTCGATTCTCCCTTCTAATTTGGGTTCCTTTTCAATATAATGCAGTAACATAAATACCCTTTTTATCAAAACAATATGTTTTCAGAGCCTAAGTGTTAGGAGAATGACAAGGGAATGGCAGCATGTTTTAAAGGCACACAGGGAAGTCTAGTTATAATCGAGGTAGCTACTGAATTGCGTAAAATGGGAGTCCTTAAATACCAGGACAAAAGTTCATTGGATGTTTGCAGTTTGAGTGTATGGACAGTTTTGAAAAGTGACAGTTTGCAGTTGCAGCTTTAAACAAAAAACAGCAAATCTCCGACAGGATCAGTTGTAGTTTTGCTCATGTTAAGATTATACTTGCTGATTGATCCAGACATTGGACTAGAATGTTTTATTTTTTTGTAAAATGCCTATCTGAAAATATGTTGATCACGCACTGACTGTAACATGTTGATAACAGAACACGAGGTTGACATTCACTGTGCACAAATCTGCACTCATGGGGTCAATTTGTGCATGTGAATCTCGCATGCACTGTAAGCAGCTTCTGTCATAGGACCAAAACCTGTGAAGATTCGGGTTACAACTGATCTTCAGTATCCCTTGCTTGTCGTAAGAGGCGACTTTTGGGATCGCGGTAGGTCACGTCCGTTACGTAGATCGATGCTCATGTTGTTGATCACTGGAATATCTGGCCCAGGCACGATTATTTACAGACAGCCGCCATATAGCTGGAATATTGCCGAGTGCGGCGAGAAACTAAACTCACACACTCATATTGATCATCGGCACCGGATAACTAAAACGTTTTACATTAATATTTCGTATAAGGGAGTCTATATGATAACGTGTATAGACTGTTTTTTCGAAGATAGCAGAGATCCCATTTTATTTTGCGTAATGTACGCCTGCCTTTGAACGATACGAAATTACTGTTAGACTGGGCTTCGAGTATCAATGTTTACAAAGATCAGCAACAAAACCAGTCAGTTTAGCCTTGTTCGATCGGATAAGCGTGTACGTTGGTCTTTCACGTGATATTGGATTCAGAAACGCATTGCTAAAAACACAATAGTATCCCAACAAGATATCTACTTGGGGCATTTAACATATATAATTGTTTGTATTCGTAAATACCAACACACATTTAGTTTATTACGGGTATATTTGCAAACCGGTTTATCCAATCGAACATGAACATTTCCTGGAACTTGCTGGGTGCGAGTTCACGCTGCAGGTGAGGTAAGTCGACTATAAAATGCATAATCTGTTGCAATATCGTAAGAATAAATAACATTTTGAAGCCATTGAAACAGTTATTAAGTCAAAGATACAACAATTAATTAAACTTGATGACAAAATGTTTTGTTTACGGAATATGTTGACCGGGTACGTCGTAGCTGATCACGGAGATTGGGTAAATCCCACTGTCCCACATATTTCATAACAAAACAATACCATTTCGATTCTGTGATCCTGTTGTTTAGTCAATATAGCTGCTGTACATTTATCAAAATACTTTGATTTGTTTGTTTATTGTCATTGTCAAAACCCTTTAATGACTGCAAGATACCAGATGAATTATTAACCTGTGTCGCAACAGAGACCATATCATTATATGGTCTCTGGTCACAGTCAGACATTGAACATACTCCATTTTGAAGTTAGGTTGAGTTTACACGTTTGACTGCCTGTCTCCTCTTGTGTTCTGTATGTCTTGATTCAGATATTTAATTAGGTTGAGTTACTAAGATTTTGCAAATGTAAATATTTAAAATAAATAACTTCAGAAAGGTGACATTATTTTTCTGAACAGAAAGTAGGACATTTACAAATTCTCACATGACTAAGTTGTCGCAGGTATATTATCAACTTTGAAAAAACTGAAGAGAAGAGTTTGTTATTGTGTCAATATCCTAAGTTGCAGCTTGTTTACACATTGTGTTTTGAAATGTGTTTTGTGTGTGTGGTATATTCTCAGGCGAAGTGGCACTCCCTTCAACGCGATCCAACTAGGTAATACAATCATTTGTGTACTACCAAATATTATAATCTCGCTAAATTAGACAACAACTGGTTAACATTATTAAGGTCATAACATAGTTACAAAGCAAAGAAGGTATAGGAATATTTTCAATACTGTAAATGTATTGTTTGTTAACTTAAAAAAATGTGAAAATGATCAAACACCCACATCAACACACCCAGAATGAGTCTGTAAGACATATGAACAAATTTATAGCCAAAGTCAATTTGGCACTAATTTTGATTAAACACTGTCCCATTCAGCACAGATATGTACTCTCTCGTCATAATTTGTTGAAGTCCCTTAAAACTCCCTCTTGATCTTTTTGTCATATGTCAATATCCATTCCAAAGAAATGTTGTCTGATTCCAAAAAGATTTCAACCACAGCAGCTATATTGAAATAAAATGTAAATTTTACCGTAAGTACACTATACCCTTTAATCACTTTACTGGACCCTCATATTTCGTGTAAATTAATTGTTTTGAGGTCCTCTGAACTCCCGGTTTTGTAAGTCAAGGTAAAATCACGAGGGTTTAATGTACCAGGCACTTCCTTAATGTCTGTTATTATTTTTTAATGGAAATACAAGTACACATGTCCTGCAGTCTAAGTAAACTTAGGCTCAGTATTATTCGTTACACTGCTATACTGAGTGACACAAAACCTTGTGGAAGGTCGCGTCAGGTAACCTTTGAGCAACCTATGACCATCCAATCAAACGCGAGACGACAGAATGGATTTAATCAACCAGACAATGGCTACTATTTAGGGTTCAGCGGGACTTAAAAATGGATTTACTCTTCCCCGGTCGCCAACACTGATCTCACAACAAATGAAAACCCGCATAGAACACAGATATATGATCTGCAGAATATACGCTTTTGGGTTTCTGTTGACATGGTTATCATCAGCTAATATTTCTGGAAGCTGACATCCTTGAATACTCACAAAACGCTATTTTCAGTGGCTGTTTACTCACTGTTGTGGTGTGCTCCATGTGCATCACTCGGAAGCGATCGTACGGAAAATAGCATTCGGAATCGTTCGGGTACAAAACTTTTTCGAGGTAAAAAGTTCAAAAGGTATGTGCGAATGTCAACTTTTGCGATTTGGTAAGCTTTGTTCTGATTGGTTATTTGAATAGGTTACCTGACACGACCTTCCATAAGGTTTTGTTTGACTCAGTATAGCAGTGTAACGAATAATACTGAGCCTAAGTTTACTTAGACTGACATGTCCTGGAGCATTTTCTGTGATCCAATCCAAATGAAAGCTTTATATGATGTTGACTGTGGTTCTTTTATGGATGCTTCAATTGTTTTAATGTTGTGTCAGTATGGTTTTACGCTGCTTTTAGCAATATTCCAACAGTATCATGGCAGGGGACACATGAAATGAGCTGTGGGAATCGTACTCGGGTCGTCAGCATGCCAAGTAAGCGCTTTATGAGTTAACTACTTACAGTTGACAACCCACAGGGGTACATGGTCTGAAGTCTATTTCTATTGCCCTCTGCTGTGATATTGTTGGAATATTGCTAAAATGGCATAAAACAATACTAACTCATTGGTTAAAGCATTTGCTCGTCACACCAAAGACCCGGGTTTGATTCCCCACTCAGAATAACCTAGTAGTTTCTGTCTGTTTGCAGCCATCTTGGATGAGTGGGTAGACAAACATAGTGCCACATGGGTGTGGTAACTGGGAGTGATGCCATGGTGATGTGGCGAACAGCGGTTACCTAGAAACATGGCCGACTTGGAATTCAGACACATCCAGGGAGAAGCATCGCTGATCCCGATAAGATGTCTTCCACAGTCCTGTCGCAGTTTTCTTTCCAATGTCCTAGATCCTGAGTCAGCTTTGGGAAGGTCTGATTACAGGACATTTGGAGAACTGCTTGGATTGTCTCATTTTCAAACTCAGGTAAGGGTTTGACAGTTAACTGTCAGATAGATAGGTTATGAAATTAGGCTCAACAAAAGAATATGAATTATGTCATTTCAACAGCATCATGAAAATACAGTAAAATAACCTTTAGTGTGATGACTGATCAGACATCGCTTAATGATATTTTTTCACTGACTAGTTTTAATTTCGATGCTTAGTTACATTGCTTACAACTTCTAGAATGCCTTTCAAACAGTTCAAAGACCGCCTCCGTGGTGTAGTACTTGGAGCGTCCGCTGGGAGATCGGAAGGTCACGGTTTCGATCTTCATACCAAAAGACGTTAAAATATGGTACTTGTTGGTCCCTGTCTGGTGCTCGGCATTAATGGGTACAACAAGGACTGGTCGGCTTGGCGTCAGTATAATGTGTCTGAATGGGTACTCATGCTTCACTGCGGCATGGTATCTCCAGTAAAACCAGCTTAAGTCTGAGCTAGTACAAGCAGCCGCACATACACACATGCATCGTCGTCATATGGGCAAAATATTCTTAAGCACACGCTACCCCTCATTTCACCTCATTTTACCTCAAACAGTTTACTTTATTACTATCGATAATAGGGCTGGGATTGGGTATTGGAGTGAATGTGTTTAGTTTTACGCCGCACTCAGCAATATTCCAGCTATATGGCTGCGGTCTGTAACTAATCGAGTCTGGACCAGACAATCCAGTGATCAACAACATGAGCATTGATCAGCGCAGTTGGGAACCGATGACATTTGTCAACCAAGTGAGCGAGCCTGACCACCTGATCCCATCCACCCGATCCCGTGAGTCGCCTCTTACAACAAGCATGGGTTACTGAAGATCAATTCTAACCCGGATCTTCACGGGTCGGCTGGGGTTGGTAACTCGGATACCATTTATGTTGGTGTGAGTTGGACCTGCGTACCCAGGGAACTCCCCAGACCAAGGGTTTTACCTTGACTCACACAAGGTTTGGTCCAGGGGACCCCATCAATACATTTTACAGGTCCTTGCTGGTAACATGAGGGTCCGGGTAAAGTATTGGAATGGTGTTGTGTACTGTATGTTCAGATAATGACTGCAGAACCTGTAATGAATCAGTGGTCATGTGGCAAGTGGTCATGACTGATGGGTGAAATAACATACACAGATAACTACTCTTGATGTGCTGTATTTTTGTGTGTGTCTCCGGAAGCCGTATGTCAGGTTTTATGTGTCCATTCTGTACATTTGTGTGTCACGTAAAACCCTGCGGACTCATAGTTATTCCCGTGATATGTTGTTTAATGACAATAACAAGAAAGGTCAATAATTACAGGTCACTGATAATAATAATAATAGTCCATTTATCATGCGCATTTTCCATGAGCCCAAACAATCTGATTACATGTATTATTACCCCGGATAACCCAAGCTGCCTGTTAGGCACTGGAAGGTTAGTGGTTACTTGACTTCCACCGGGTACCCATTTTCTGGTGGGTGAAGAGAGGCAATTATGATCAAACTCACTTGCCAAAGTTGAGACCGCATGTCTCATGGGCTTTGTTGTGGGGCAGGACTGAAGTCCTAGAAACTCGCAGGAGTCAAGCTGCCAAACACTGTCACCCATCCAAAGACTCTCCGCTCCCAACGTTGCTTAACTTCAACTGATTGTGACCTAAGCTCTATGCACAGGATCATACACCACCACTAATGGTCACCTTACGCCTGTATCTAATACTTTTTCACAGGGATCCAATAAAACTGTTTCCTGTCTGGCATTTTGTATCAAACATGAAACCTACCGCGGGTAACAGGTTAGGGTTAGATAACTGATGGTAGGGTGCACAGATAGTAATGTATTTTGCTTGAATTCAACCAGTCTCAGGTTGTGGCATCCATGGCATCCTATTTGAAGTTCTTGGGTTGTTCGGGGGGTAGCCTAGTGGTTAAAGCGTGCGCTCGTCACGCCGAAGACCCGGGTTCGAATCGCCACATGGGAACAATGAGTGAAGCCCATTTCTGGTGTCCCCTGCCGTGATATTGCTGGAATATTGCTAAAAGCAGCGTAAAACCAAACTCAGTCAGTCAGTCAGTCAGGTACATGTAAGACCAGCGTTCGAAATTAATGTCGGTCCTTAGGACCGATGCCAACTGAAAATCACTCAGCCCACAGCTTTTGTTTTCTGCAGGTCCTTATGGCCAACAGCCTATTCATCCCAAATAAGTAAGAGTTTTATTTCCATATTAGAATATAGGGCCTACACAGTCTGATCAGGACTCACAACTTTTTATGGTTCTGGGTCCTCAGGGTCTGCAGCCTTTCAGGGTTAAGGGCAAACACTGGTATCACTTCTAAATGTCATGTAGCCTACATGAGCATAACACACATTTGAAACTATCATGGTGTGATATGTTCTATGTGTTTATTAATGTTGATAGGTTGAATCGGGGAAGGACTATGAGTTGGTTGTAACCACACCACATGGTTTGTACAGATACAGATCTGGCGACATGGTACAAGTGTGTGGCTTCTTTGGAAACACACCGAGATACAAGATGTTGCAAATGTTTATGAATAGCTAATAAGTCGCAGACTTTGCTAAGTCAGTTTTGATTCAGGAAAAATCTTAGCTTCTCTATAAATACTGCCCCAGGGTTCTTAGGGACTGCAGCTTTTCAGGGTTAATGGCAAACACTGTGTAAGACATGCTTGCCATAAGAGGCAGCTGAGTTTGGATAGTCAGACTCACTGACTTGATAGAATACCTGTCATCATAATCACTTACATCAGAGGTCATAATGTCAGGCATCAGGTTGTCAGCAAATTATTATTCCAGCTACATATATGGCGGCGTATGTAATTAATCGAGTCTGGACCAGACAGTCCAGTGATCAACAGCATGAACATCGATCTGCTCAATTGGGAACTGATGCCATGTGTCAACCAAGTCAGCGAGCCTGGCCACCCAATCCCGTTAGTCGCCTCTTACGGCAAGCATGGGTTACTGACGGTTCATTCTAACCCGGACCTTCACGGGTGTCAATTTATGGAAGTCTAGATATCACAGTCATGTGATAAGCAGATCATGTGCTTTTTATTAAGTTTCAAAATGCATACAAATGTGAATTATGATAATTACAAATTAGGATTATACGACAAAATATGAAGACGTACATTGACTTGGTTACTTTTCTTGATGTTTTTAAACTGACCACCATCATAGAGCTAGAATATTGTGGTGAGGCATTGAACAAGGAGTAAACAGACTGAATATACTTTTGTTATGGCAGGGTTGTCGGGCCAGGAATCGGGACCGAAGTATAACTGATATATTGCTGACAGAGTTTGGACATGAACCAATATGGAAGCTCATAACCATTCTCCACCAGATGGATGTGGCTGGGGGGAGAGAAATACTCACATCATGGCAAGGTATGTTTCACGATGTTTATTCCAACATGTCAAATATATATATATGTAATGCCTTCTGCTCAGAATTTTGGCTAGGATGAACCAGTTTTGTAGGATTTCTAGCATCAAAACTGTTCTCTGAAAATGAAAATTTACATTTTCATATAACACGACGTATATAGCCATAACCCATGAAGTACTGGGTTAGAACTGGTCTTCAGCAATCCATGTTTGTCATAAGAGGCGATTGACGGATTCAGGTGGTCAGGCTCTCTGACTTGGTTGATATATTGCATTGTGTTCCACTTGTGCAGAGAATTATGTTGATCACTGGTTTGTTTGGTCCAGATTATTTACAGACCACCGTCATGTAGCTGGAATATTGCTGAGTGCGGCGTTTACTGAAAAAAGGACAAACAAACAAACATTTCATTCTATTTCATGTAAGGGAGGTAACTGCATGTCAGATTCACTGTCAACAGCCAATCAATACCCGACATTCTGTTACTTTATTATTTTTATTTTTAATTAAAATCTGAGTTTTATTTATTGTCAGTTTGTTTGTTTGTTTTACACTCAACAATTTAATATATGTTAATTTTAGTTTAGTTTATTCATCCTCCAAGTAAACATCCTCCAAGTATAGATATAAGATACTAAATGCCCATCAAGCATCTTTGTTCATTTTCAAGAGATGTTTAACTGCATCATGTGAATATGGTACTGTTATTGGTGTTGGTCCCTGCTTGGCGCCGCATTATTCATCATAGTCTGAGTTCCAAACTGCTGTCTGGGCTACAATACATTTGAAATGTCGTCATATGATTGGTTCATCTCTCACATCTAGCCAAATGCTGGACAGTTTGAAATGTCCAGATTGGGTCATCTCTGACATTAGCATCAGTGTGGTCTTCAGTTAGATTTGTTTCTCCATTTTGTAGATATAGAATTTTAATCAACATTTCTTGGACTTGGTGCATGTCTGTTTCAGAAATTTGTAGGAACTATGAGACAGAACAGAGGGTGTTTGCAGGAGGCTACGAAGGAGGTGTACAGAATACTGAGAGCCAGTGTTCATGCATGAACTGTCCTGCATTATACAGCCACCAGAACCCATCTATCAGGGATACACGTACATTCCACACCACCCTCAGGATGAAGGCTGTCATACAGGTCAGCCTTGTCACAGTTTCATGCCCAACCCACAGCAGGCTTGTCAGCCTCGAAGCCCTCCCACACGACTGAAAGGTGTTGAAGGGCCGATGGTGGGACAGGATTCTAGAATGGTGGAGATACAAAAGCCAAGGCCTGGGATCACCAGAACCTTTGAGTCACTTCAGACTGGTCCTGATAGGGTCAGTGAGAGACAGTTTGTTGCCAACATTGATGAAGATGACCCATGGTGTAGAGACAGAAGGCTGGGTTCCCTGCAAAGGATGATGTCAGATGAAGACAACCGCAGCTATGGCATAGGCTTGGATGAAGTAGAGCCTGTTGATGCAGGGATCAGGAATAATAGACCAGGTGATGAGGACAGTGCCCAGAACAATGGACCAGGTGATGAGGACAGTGCCCAGAACAATGGACCAGGTGATGGAAACAGGGTCCAGAACAATGGAGTAGGTGATGAGGACAGTGCCCAGAACAATGGACCAGGTGATGGAAACAGGGTCCAGAACAATGGACCAGGTGATGGAAACAGTACCCAGGAGAATGGACCCGGTGATGAGACAAGGGTCAAGAACAATGGACCAGGTGATGGAAACAGGCTCAAGAACAATGGACCAGGTGATGAAACAGTACCCAGAACCCGGTGATGAGGACCAAGAACAATGGACCCGTGATGGAAACAGGGTCAAGAACAATGGACCAGGTGATGGAAACAGTACCCAGGAGAATGGACCCGGTGATGAGACAAGGGTCAAGAACAATGGACCAGGTGATGGAAACAGGCTCAAGAACAATGGACCAGGTGATGGAAACAGTACCCAGGAGAATGGACCCGGTGATGAGACAAGGGTCAAGAACAATGGACAGGTGATGAGGACAGTGCCCAGGTGACAATGGACCAGGTGATGGAAACAGGGTCCAGAACAATGGACCAGGTCAGTACCCAGGACAATGGACCCGGTGATGAGGACAGTGCCCAGAACAATGGACCAGGTGATGGAAACAGGGTCCAGAACAATGGACCAGGTGATGGACAGGAGAATGGACCCGGTGACAGTACCCGGTGATGGAAACAGGCTCAAGAACAATGGACCAGGTGATGGAAACAGTACCCAGGAGAATGGACCCGGTGATGAGACAAGGGTCAAGAACAATGGACCCGGTGATGGAAACAGGCTCAAGAACAATGGACCAGGTGATGGAAACAGTACCCAGGAGAATGGACCCGGTGATGAGACAAGGGTCAAGAACAATGGACCCGTGATGAGACAAGGGTCAAGAACAATGGACCCAGTGATGAGACAAGGGTCAAGAACAATGGACCCGGTGATGAGACAAGGGTCAAGAACAATGGACCCGGTGATGAGACAAGGGTCAAGAACAATGGAGCAGATAATGGAAACAATGGACATGGCAACAACCTTACCACAATGCCTGATTTGACACTTGATGACAAGTCAAGCCAAGAGCTTGACAACAATGACTTGTTGGCACAAGCAGACTGGGATTCCTTTAGCATATCAGGTAGAAACTTTCAAGACAAGGCCAGTATTGCATCCAGTCAGTCACCAATGGTGCAAAAAATTACAAAAAATGAACATTCTAGCTCAACACTACAAATGGCAAATCATAAAACCAATGGCAAACCGTTCAAGTTAAATCCTGTAGCTTCAGACAAATCAGCATCCCCAAAGTCCACTAACTACTGTCCTACCTACCCAAACAGCATGCCTACTGGTGACCATGCCTGCCCGTTACCACCTTATGCATATTCAGAGTATGGTTACCCCAACAACGAAGCTCATCCATCGCATCAAACCATGCAGAAAGGATACATGTATCACGACAATGGCCCTCCTCAGACCAATCAAGGAACTCCTCAGTCCTACTACAGAAATCATCAAGGTTTTCATCAGATCCTTCGAGGAGCTCAGAACTTTCCAGGAACTCCTCAGACTGGTCATTGTTTTCCTCAGACAATTCAAGGAGCTAATCGGAACGTCCAGTGTTTTCCTTGGAACATTCAAGGAGGGCATTTTCAGATAGCCTCTCAGGGCCCACATCACTACGCCACCAGAAGAGGTCCCCCTCTACATGCTATGGGGAGAGGATATCAACTTACACAGCAAGGAGTACCTGATGCAAGAAACTGGCAGGTTCCACACACTGCAGAAGTTACTCCTGCCAAAAAGACTGTTCCAGTTGCATCTGATCATGACCAATACCCACATGGTGTTCCTGCTGCTGCTCGAGGTCCACGAGGACACCCAACCAATCCATCAGACAGGCCCCCACCAGTGGAAGATGGAATGGTTTTCAGTGAAAAGGGACAAGTAAAGCTTCGAGGACAAGAGTCACGTGAAGCATCTGAGAAGCGACATTCAGATTCAGCTGTGGATGGAGAAGTCAGTCCAGCTCAACAGCACAGACGTCATGGGTCAGATGAAGGTGCAGCTGCTTGTGGAAGGGAAGCTGGTAGGTGGACTCTGTTTCATCAGTTGTTACCCAGTTAACAGTCTAGAACAGAACAGGTTCTCACTGGCCATTCACAGGAAGGCATCCTTAGACCAAATACTAGAAAAGTCCCTATCTTTTAGGATCTCTCAGCAGACGGGAATGTGGCACCAAGGAATTAGTATGACATCCCCCACCCTCCCAAAATTTCTTGTTGATATGGAACTAGCCACAGAATGTATCAGGTTACTAAAAAACAAACTAGGTTTACCCTGCTATTTAAACTGTCCACATGTTTATAGACCAACTGCATGAATATTGACCACATGGTGTAATGGACGGTGACAAGCACCGGTGTTCAACATGGTCAAGGTATGCAGTATGGGTGATAAGCCGGGTGTATCGAATTACCTGATTTTAATGCTATCTCTACATTTGGCATAGGAGTGAACTGTGGGGATGAATTGCAAACTTAGAAACTGGTCATTCATTTCAAAGAAGAACAGGGAGAGGGGAATGCGCAAGATATGACAGTTCAAAGACTAATCCCATCACAAACCCTTCACCACCACCACCACAGGGGCAGATCCAGCATTTTGGAGAAGGGGGGAGTGCACATAAATCATGAAGTCCAAAGGTTAAGGTTAATGCTCATCAGGGAACATTTTTTCTGGATCCGCCCTGCACAAGTTACTGGCCACTTACAAGCGTTTTTCATTGTTTCAGAGAGTGAATGCAGAGAAAGAGAGAAGTATGTGTTTATTACAGGAGGAGATGAAACAAAACAGGATGCTGTTGCCAAGGAGATAAACAAGTTATGTCATGAGCTGCGCAAACTGGGAATAACAGTGGTGGCAGACTTGCCTGAAAAGTTCCAAGCTGTGCCGAGAGATCCCCTGCAGGGACGGAACTCCATCTCATTCAGAAGGGACAACGTACATGAAGCACGAATGGCCTACTTTGAAAGGGTGAGGTTCCAATATTTTCAGTGTTATTGTCTTGGGAGATTCTCTTTTTGCTGAGCACTTGCTGATTGCATCCTTTTGAATTACTGATTATAAGGAGAATCATGTCTTTAAGCAGTTCTTTCATTTTCTAGGTTTGTTAACAAACAGGTGGGGTAGCCTAGAGGTTAAAGCGTTCACTCATCACGCCAAATAACCGGGTTCAATTCCCCACATGGGTACAGTGTGTAAAGCCCATTTCTGGTGTCCCCTTGCCAACTCACTCACTCCCTCTCTCGTGAAGATCCGGGTTAGAATTGGTCTTCAGTTGCGTAGATTGATGCTGATGTTCTTAATGTCCGGTCCAGGCTTGATTATTTACAGACTGCCGCCATATAGCTGGGATATTGCTGAGTGCAGCATTAAACAACGAACCAAACAAAGAAATCTTCCCACCACAACCAAGAAGAATGCAATGAGAGAAGTGTCCTTTTCAATTGTTTTTTATGATGCCCAGCCTTCTGTTTCAGGCCACGTGTGTTCTGATTATCGTCAGTCCTGGGTACAAGGCTTATGTTGACAAGGACAACGACCAAGCCCAAGCCCAAGCTCAGCCCACTGAGCATCAGTCTTCCACCCGACATATCTACACACTCATGTTGACAGAGTACTGTGAGAAAAATTTCTCAAAGAATAAACGCTTTTATCCAGTATGTCTTACAAAACTGAAGACTAAGCGTAGTGATATTCCTGACTGGATTTCCTCCACTTTAATTTACTACTTCCCAGGCAAAGAGCTGTTTAACCATCTGAAACAAGACTTAGAGAATGACTAAAGTTTGGGTGGTTCTTAAAGGTTTGAGAACCAATGCAAGCATTAAAAGGACCTCAATTTCAAGCTTTTTGAGAATTGGAACTTTTTATGAAAAAGCATAATTTGGTCAAAACTGAAGACTTTTACAGTGTGCTGCATGGACAAAATATGTTGTGTGAATTTAGTGACTCAGGAAAAGGCCTGATATATAAATTGACAGGCTGTTATATCTTTGTGCCTTGGTGTGGTGTACAATCATTTCAAGTATTGAAATATCTTCATAAGATTTACATTGAACTTGATCAAAGCGTATATTTTTTTATCATAAATGTCCTCCGGAATACATTGTGCCCTTGAACTTTTCCTTAATGGAGTTCATGGATTGATGAATAGATGAAAAATGACAGTGACTTCTTTAATAATGTGTCCATTTATATAGCGTCAAACTCCACACCTGGTATGCCCATAGCGCTAACAATCAATAAGGCATTATTGAAGTCCATAGAACTGTTTGTAGAGAAAGGTTTGGAGGTGATGCTTAGAGTTTTCAAGGGTTGGAGACAGCTTAAGGTCATCAGGGAGAGAATTCCAATTGACCGATGCCATGTTCTTGTAAGACTTGTAGCCAAATGATTTGAGGTTCCAATTTGGTACACAGAACAGATTAGACGAGGATGAACGCAGAGTTCTTGTTGGCATGTAAGCAAAGACGTTTTCCAACCTCCGCTGAGATAACAAGTTTTAACCATGTCTTGATGGTAAACTGAGAAAGGTGGCGCAAGACAAGTTTCTTTTGCTTATGGACTTGAATGTGGTACATCAGGAGTGTGGGAGGGTCGGCTAGCCGAGTGGTTAAAGTGTTCACTCGTCACACCAAAGACCCGGGTTCGATTCCCCACATGGGTACAATATGTGAAACCCATTTCTGGTGCCCCCTGCCATAATATTGTTGAAATATTGCTAAGAGCAGTGTAAAACTAAACTCACTCATGGCAGGAGTGCGATAGGTTTGGCAGATTCCACGATTGTGCTGTCTGCGGCTGTACTATTATCTCCAGGAATGTAATCTGGAACAGGTCGATAATGTAACCGCTATATGGGTCAGATGTGACACTCAGACAGCCAGACCTGTTTTGGTCATAGCCAGTGCTGACTTTGTCATTGTTTTGAATGGATAACACTGTATATTTTCATGAGTTTCTAATTATGTTAGACAGACAGATGATTACAATCTGTAATTTGTTAGAGTATAATTTATATGTTTTGTATTCAATGTTTGTCTTGTGTTCAAGTTATTACAAGTAGAATCCATTCTGTTATGATAAGAACCCTGGAACTATTCATGATTCAGGATCATTGGGGAAGTGATGTCACTTTTAACATTGCCGTATCAGTGTCTTCCCACAGTTCCCTTGCATGTCAACATAACTTGATTTGAAGGCTACTAGTAGTGAGTGAGTGAGTTTAGTTTTCAGCAATATTCCAGCAATTTCATGGCGGGGACACAAGAAATGAACTTTACACATTGTACCCATGTGGGGAATCGAACCTGAGTCTTTGGCGTGACAAGCAAACGCTTTAACCACTAGGACTACCCCACCGCCCCTGAAGGCTACTTGTAAGTGTGACCAGACTGACATTAGCTGAGGGGCAGTGACATAGGTGACATCACTTTCAAGATTAGAACTTAGAAGTGACATGCATGTTCATGTGGCTTCGTATACTGGTCCAGAAAAGAGCTTACCCACTGAGCTACCATGCCACAGTTTGACATGAACATCCCACCAAAATCAAGCTAAAAGTCTGGGTTTGATTCTGAACATGGGTACAATGTTTGAAGCTCATTTCTGGTGTCCCGAGCCATACTATTGCTTCTTTGAGAGGCATTTTAGAAGTTGTAAAGATGAAGGAAAACCATGTTCTATAGATAGTCAACTTCTTTATTGCAATGAATGTGACATTTCGGAGTAGGTACTAACACCTTTATCAAGCAAGTGATGGTTTTCCTCATAATATTGCTGAAATATTGCTATATTGGCGTAAAACCCGACTCACCCACCTGCGCAGTAAAACACAATACGCTGTCTCAATGTGAACCCTTTTCTATCCCCTTATGCCAAGCACCAGGTAGGGAAACAAGAGGTACCATATTTTGGTATGATACTCCTGGGAATGACAGGCCATGAATGGGTCCATGGTAGTGACCATGACAGAATGGAGACGTATAATCATATGATAATACACATGATACTAGCTTGAAACATATTGTAGTATCTAGCTGTTGATATTTAATAATCCATGTAAGTTAATGGGCTTTGTTCATATATACTTCTGTACAAATTTAACATTTACAGATTTTAGTTGCCAGTACTCACCATTTATACAATGATTAATCTGTTTATTATATTTTTATATGTGCAGTCATTGTTTAGATCTCTTGAGGAATATTGTTTGTGTTGTTTTGCCATGTTTTGATCTAGGTGGCCATGTTGTCAAGAATTGATCTTCAGTTACCCATGCTTGTTGTAAGAGGCGACAAACGGGATCGGTTGGTCAGGCTTGCTGACTTGGTTGATGTCATCGTATCCCAATTACTGGATTGTCTGTTCCAGACTTGATTATTTACAGACCGCCGCCATATAGCTGGAATATAGCTGAGTGCGGCATAAAACTCTCTCACTCACTTATTCATTTGTTGGGGAAGTGACATCATCAACACATTTGCTCAAAACATTTCTGTCACTCACTACCATGTTATCAACAAGTAGGGTTGCGACGATTTGGTTTGATTCATCGAATCTGACACCTTAGTTTCGATTTTCGATAACAATTATCACTATTTCGATTCGATATTTGAATACCTAAGTAATTTTTTCCACACAGCCTGACTCCAACTCGAGCCGTTTCGAGAAATAGGATGAAACTTGATTGGTTGACCCTGGGCTAATTATTGTTGAGAATTGTTGTTAGTAGACATCGCCAAGTTGACATGGGTTTCACGCTGAAAAAACTGACTCACCTGAACTCTGAGAGTTAAATGAAATCTGTGTTTACTTGTATGAAGAATCGAATTGAAAATGATCGAATCGAGGGACCAATATTGAAAATTGAATCGAAAGGAGGACTGGGTGCAGCCCTATCAACAAGCAATGAGAATGCTTCTTTGGCATAGATCTACACTTGAGTAAGTCTTTAATGTATTTAAAAACTAACAATGCAGTTTTAGTTTGTTTTGTCGGGAGAGGATTATTTATTTAGTACAAAAACAGGGAAAAGGTAGTGCTTATGCTAGAGGTTTTTGTGATGTCACGCAAAAATTTGGAAAAATACTGTGATACTTAAACCAAAGAATCATGTCATTTGACTGGACATCCATTTTTAGCATCATACAATTGTAACAGACATCTAGATGAAGAAAAGGTTGAGAATGAGTCGTGGGCATGTATCATACCTGACAATGCCAGAGAATGCATGAAATATACACAGAAGATGTCAACCAAGATTCTGTTGTGTCGTGTGGTAGACAGGAGCATCATTAGACTTAGAGCTAAAAGATGCAAAGCTAGGAGCAGACTATTACCTTGTATCTGAATGAACATAATTTACAAAAAAAATATGGTTTCTAAATAGTGTTGATAAACTAATAATAATAATAATAATACAATGGAGCCCAGAGTCTTTCTTCATTTTCTGAAACTGTGAAGTCTGGACTTGCTACATAATCTAGACTTGCCTGGGATGTATTGGGTGTATTATTTAAGGGTCTGCACGACAAACAAAGTTCGAGGGGCTGGGTGAGATTGGCCTCAGATATATTTACCTGACAATCCTACATGATTATATATGTTGCTTTGTACAGTATGTCAGCTATGTCTCTTCTTTTTATGGGATGTGGAACCTAGACACCAGGGTGCCGTTGTACAAAGCGATCTTGGCGCTAAGGTGACAGTAACTCCCATACCTTAACATAGACCTGAGGTAGTCTTAGGGCTAAGGTTGTTTTGTACAATGTAGATAAACCAGGGTACACAACTATGTCAGTCTGGGTTTCAAACCCAACAGTAGCCTTAGAAAGGTCTTTCTGAAACCGGTGATCCTTGACATTCGCAATGAGATGTCAACTGCTTGAGGTTAGGCTTGGATGTGATCATGGTGATGGGCATTGGAAATTCATGTATCAATAATCAGCAATATAATTGGATGACAAAATTGATAATTCCAATCAAATGTTGCTGTTGCGGATGAATGAATATAATGTTAAAACAGTCCATGTTAGTATCAAGTTGTTGCATGCACACTAAGAAATACCTTTGCAATGACCTACTGAATAATTAACTGGTATTTCAGGGTGTAAGGTGTAAAGCACAAGTCAAAGGTAATAAATACGGTAGTAGTTAAAATTTCCAATTTCTAAAAAAGTATATATTTATAGCAGACTGGCGTCCTTAAACTGTAATGTCCACTTATCTACACTTGCCTCTTTAAAGGATAGAGAGGTTATGGGTAGCCCATTAGTTAAAGTGTTCGCTCATCATGCTGAAGACCCGCGTTCGATTTTCCACATGGGTACAATGTGTGAGGCCCATTTCTGGTGTCCCCGCCATGATATTGCTGGAATATTTGCTAAAAGCAGCGTAACTCACTTAAAGGATCGAATTACTATACACCCATGGGCTTAGCATGCAGTAAAGCCTTGGAGCAAGGCCAGGTCTTCAGAGGTTGTTTATACATTGGTATGAAAAGATCAGTTGGCTTTGTTTAGATGTTGATTTATCCGGTAATATGGGTTTTCAGATTCTAAAAACACATTCCTTGTTTTCTTGCAAATCACATACACATCTTACTAACCAGTCAAATATACTGTTATCATAAACACAATCTGTCAACTGTGTATTTACAATGTTTATGTTACCCAACAAACTATAATATAGTGCGAGTACACTTTGCCCTCCGATAACTGATAGTATATGACTAAATGAATGGTTTTGTCTTGTACCTTGGGACCCCAGAGGTAAGGTCATGTACTGTGTTTAATTCCATTGTTTTGTGTGACGACAATATTGCATATTAAAAAAATGCTGCAAAGCCTCCATGGCCTCTGTCTACATAATTTAAGGAATTCATATTTGTATAGTGTGTGTTCATTATGTGTATGAGCAAATTTTGTATACACAATAAAATACCTGAATATTTTGTCATCTGTCTTTATGTCATGGCTGGAAGATATACGCTGTATTACTGGTACATAACTATATGAAATACTAAAAATGCTGACCACAAAACCGTTGGATAATACGTTATAGAGTGTTTCTCGTGGTCATGCCTATTTTGCCCTTGTTGGCAAGGTAACGTAAGCGAGGTTTAAGGTTTATCAGAAATTGCAGATGAAGAAACTCATTCAAAATACTAGTATTCAGATGGACACGATATTTTGACATCGAATGTTTTCATTGGTAAACTTGTGAATGAATTCTTGGATTTGAACAAGAGAAAGAGTGTGTTGGAATGGTCGGAAGATATTCGACTAAGCAGTTGTTCGAATTGCACGAAATATGCCAGAATAATGACATATTCGAGAAAAATGTCCCTCAATGTGCACTTTATAAGACGGACAACCAGACCCTTTGTTGTTTCCATTCATTGCAGTCTTATACCTCGCAGTGTGACGTTGTTTGTCGATTCATTCAATCAATCAATCAATCAATCATTTATTCAATAGAAAGGCCATATTGGCCCATGTATAATACATTTCAAAAATATTTTGTCGTGACATTTTGATACACTTTATATGAATTTACATATCGAGCTGTAATTTTCTCTGTAGAAGAGCTTCCTTGATGAACATAGCACAATTGTGAAGTATAAATGATGAACAGACACCCAACAAATTTATATATTTCTAAACAGTGGCATTTGTGCAATTATAAAGGCGGGAGATATTTTAATCTTATGCTTTTGAAAAAGGGGCATATTAGGAAGAAATGGTATTCATCTTCAACTGCCTGTAATTCACTAATTTGACAGATCCTTTCTTCAGGCAGCAACCCTTCCCATCTCCTGTGTTGATTCTTAGCTGTAATACGGATGAACGTAATAGAAACAAATTTTTAAACTTATCCTATCTCACGGTATGCACCTCTCCTCTTCTTCTATGACCATGTGTGGAAACGTGCTGTAGGCTAAGTTGAATCAAATCTTGCTGGCCTCTGACCCGCCCTGACCTCTGGCCCCACTCCGACATCAGCACCTGTCAGTCATCTCCATAAGAGTGTAGCTCGCTCAGATGATCATGTGACTACCTGTGCCTGTCATTCTCTTTCTTGTCGCTACGTCGTGTGGACGTGTGCTTGTCTATAGAAAGTTTGTTTGCGTTTTCCAACAATGGGAAAATCTAATCGCAGTGGTTCTAAGAAGCGTAAGCATTGTGATAATTGTAAAAGTAACTTCTCGGCGGCGGATCCACATGCCTTGTGTGTTGACTGCTTGGGTCGGTGTGAGTGGTCACATCGTTGTACCTTTTGTGCAGACCTCAATGACGATGATTTCTCTGAATACCGCCGGGTGGCTTGCAGACACATGTCAGATAGGGATCGTCGAAAACCATCTGAGGGTCCGTCTGTGTCTAAACGTATTAAGGCAGATCACCGTAAGAAAACTGCAGTCCGTCGTTCGAGGTCCCCATCTCCTAATGAAGATTTCCTAGGAGAGGCGTCGGATTCATACCTCCGTGAAAACT